TCTTTTCCTACCAAAACAGATTCATGTTCGGCGCGCGCACGATCCGTTTTGACGCTCATCTCGATGTCAAGTAGTTCAAGACGATCCGTCGCGAGAGTGGTCGCTTCTAGCGAGCGACATAGACGGCGAATACAGGAGTCGTACTCGCTGAAGAGTTGGAAAACGTTTTACTTTTCATTAACTTCCAGTGTGAAGAGAAAAATTCGCACATGGCCAACTTTATATGCTGGTGATAAAATGAGAATTCTGGGAAATTAGTTCCAAAACCTCCTATAAGAAGACCATCTTTGGATCACCGGAAACTCCAACGTACCGTAATTCGGCGTATTTCTATTTTACATAACACGTATTTTAACATCCATCATAACTTTGATTTCTCATATGAAATTGGAAAAGCTTTCACGATGATGATGTCATATTGTTAGTATTAGTCTTTGAAAAACAATGGAATTTCACCACCCTAGTGATATGAAAAACACTAGTGAAAAGAATATATTTCACGACTACTGATGCATATCACCGCGAATATCGCGTTTTTCACCGAGTATTACGACGCCACTTCACGTAAAACGGGTAGTCTTTGAAACTCCACTGCGAATCAGACAATTATACATATCTACATTTTCGTTTTCTCCATCGCCACCTCCCTCACCTTTTTATCAGGCACAGTAGCGGCCTCATCGATGGAAGATGATCAACTAGCCATCCAAAGGCATCGTCAAGTGCCACCACTCGAGCTGTTAAGACCGTCGGGGAATTGCATTCCAGAGGTATTGTAATTGTGGAGAGATGTCTCCTCGCGAGTGTTAGCATCTGAGCAACAATGTGGGAAAAATATGTGATGGTGATAATATGAAAACTTTGCGAAAAAATCCGGAAATTCTTGTTCGTTTTCTGTATGTTTGTTTATACAACCTCCAAACTCTGCTATGATTAGCTTGGGAAACTCCTGAGCTCAGGTGCTGAGGAAAGCGATTACATATATTCCTACTCCAACACTGTATAGGAAACTCCTGAGCTCAGGTGCTGAGGAAAGCGATTACATATATTCCTACTCTAACACTGTATAGGAAACTCCTGAGCTCAGGTGCTGATGAAAGCGATTACATATATTCCTACTCTAACACTGTATAGGAAACTCCTGAGCTCAGGTGCTGAGGAAAGCGATTACATATATTCCTACTCCAACACTGTATACGAAAATCCTGAGCTCAGGTGCTGAGGAAAGCGATTACATATATTCCTACTCTAACACTGTATAGGAAACTCCTGAGCTCAGGTGCTGAGGAAAGCGATTACATATATTCCTACTCCAACACTGTATAGGAAACTCCTGAGATCAGGTGCTGAGGAAAGCGATTACATATATTCCTACTCTAACACTGTATAGGAAACTCCTGAGCTCAGGTGCTGAGGAAAGCGATTACATATATTCCTACTCCAACACTGTATAGGAAACTCCTGAGATCAGGTGCTGAGGAAAGCGATTACATATATTCCTACTCCAACACTGTATAGGAAACTCCTGAGCTCAAATGCTGAGGAAAGCGATTACATATATTCCTACTCCAACACTGTATAGGAAACTCCTGAGCTCAGGTGCTGAGGAAAGCGATTACATATATTCCTACTCCAACACTGTATAGGAAACTCCTGAGCTCAGGTGCTGAGGAAAGCAATTACATATATTCCTACTCCAACACTGTATAGGAAACTCCTGAGCTCAGGTGCTGAGGAAAGCGATTACATATATTCCTACTCCAACACTGTATAGGAAACTCCTGAGCTCAGGTGCTGAGGAAAGCAATTACGTATATTCCTACTCCAACACTGTATAGGAAACTCCTGAGCTCATGTGCTGAGGAAAGCGATTACATATATTCCTACTCCAACACTGTATAGGAAACTCCTGAGCTCAGGTGCTGAGGAAAGCGATTACATATATTCCTACTCCAACACTGTATAGGAAACTCCTGAGCTCAGGTGCTGAGGAAAGCGTTTACATATATTCCTACTCCAACACTGTATAGGAAACTCCTGAGCTCAGCAGCTGAGGAAAGCGATTACATATATTCCTACTCCAACACTGTATAGGAAACTCCTGAGCTCAGGTGCTGAGGAAAGCGATTACATATATTCCTACTCCAACACTGTATAGGAAACTCCTGAGCTCAGGTGCTGAGGAAAGCGCTTACATATATTCCTACTCCAACACTGTATAGGAAACTCCTGAGCTCAGGTGCTGAGGAAAGCAATTACATATATTCCTACTCCAACACTGTATAGGAAACTCCTGAGCTCAGGTGCTGAGGAAAGCGATTACATATATTCCTACTCCACCAACACTGCTGATCGATACCAAGAACAAAGTCGAGGAGAAATATGCACATGTTCAACTACATGTGGAAATTCCGAGGAAATTTTAAAAAATAATGTATAAGTTCCTTAACACTTCTACCCAAATTCGTATATGAACGTCTATAATCAGCGAGGAAAATCCTGAGCTCAGGTGAGGAAAGCAAACATATACTCCGACACTGACCAAGTGAATGTGAATGCATATAAGATTGTTCTCACCTGATCTAAGGAGCGATCTTCGAGAGAAGTGAAGACGGTTGGGGAGAATGCTGATGATTTTGGAGAAATTTCCAACATTGAAAATCACCCAGGGAAAGTTAAATTACTTTGATTTCGAAAACCGCCAAACTCGAAAACCGCAAAAGAGTTTTTTGGGGGAAATGAAATTCTACACAAAGTATGAAGTAATTGATTCGACAAGTAACAAGTGTAGACGTTCATCAACAGACTTAACCAGAAAGAAGTTGTAGTACCTGTAACAAGCACGCTTTTGAAACAAAATGTAAAATATGAAGATCAAACCCATCTCAAGAAGGAAGTTTTTTCAGGGTGGAAAAATATTCACATGGTCACCCACATGTGTTGATGACATTATGAGAATTTTGAGGAATTCGCCTCTAGCGGCATGAGGTTCGCTTTCCTCAGCTGAGCTCAAGAGTTTCCTCATTAATTATAGAAGTTCGTGTACCAATTGGGAGACTATATATGTGTGCAGAGACTGAGAAAGATTTTCCAAAAATTTCCTCACAGTTTGGGGTTGACCATATTTTTCGTTTTGTTCGTTTTCCGTGTCGGTCTTGCTATCTTGAAACACTTTCGAGTACGCATGTACATCAGTGAAGTGAAGCTCAAGTTTCTCGCGGTTAATGTGAATGACGTTTCACCACCCGTTTTACGTGAAGTGGCGTGGTACTTGGCGAGAAACGCGATATTCGCGGTGATATGCAGTGGTTGGTGAAATATATTTTTCACTAGTGTTTTCATATCACGGGTGAAACTTCGTTATGCATCGTTGATCGAGTGATGTACAAATGACTCGTGCTCACTGTCAACGGACCCCATACGGAAGCCGCGACGGTTTTACAGCTACCCGGGCTAATTTGGGTCCGATCTGTGTGGGGGGGGGAATATGTACATGGTCAACTACATGTATGGAGATTCTTATTGGTTTCTGAGCACTCCTAGTATAATGGCTATAATAAGTGAGGAAATTGCTGAGCTCAGGTGTTGAGGAAAGCGTTTACATATATTCCTACTCCAACACTGTATAGGAAACTCCTGAGCTCAGCAGCTGAGGAAAGCGATTACATATATTCCTACTCCAACACTGTATAGGAAACTCCTGAGCTCAGGTGCAGAGGAAAGCGATTACATATATTCCTACTCCACCAACACTGTTTAGGAAACTCCTGAGCTCAGGTGCTGAGGAAAGCGATTACATATATTCCTACTCCAACACTGTATAGGAAACTCCTGAGCTCAGGTGCTGAGGAAAGCGATTACATATATTCCTACTCCAACACTGTATAGGAAACTCCTGAGCTCAGGTGCTGAGGAAAGCGATTACATATATTCCTACTCCAACACTGTATAGGAAACTCCTGAGCTCAGGTGCTGAGGAAAGCGATTACATATATTCCTACTCCAACACTGTATAGGAAACTCCTGAGCTCAGGTGCTGAGGAAAGCGATTACATATATTCCTACTCCAACACTGGCTACCAATAGTACTACCCAGGAGGCCACTACGATCCGTAGTATTACTACTGTACGGGTCGTACAGTATTGGGAGAATCTCCGAATTCTGTACGACCCTGATATGTTCAACCTGACAGGCTGAGCCATTCACCCGCTACGTTGCTGGTGGAAGTTCTTTGATCAGTGGTGTTTTTTCCGTTCCCCCACTGGTGATGTTGCTGATAATCATCTTCTAGGATCCGGTAGCTAGATGATGCACCTTATCTACGCTGGTAAAATATGAGGCTACGGTGGTTGGGTGGGGAAGGCTTCAGATCAAGAAGTGTCCCTATGATGGAAACGTTACAAGTTTCATAAGTGAGAATTATCTTATCTTCGAATTAGTCTCAGTGTTGCCTCGTTGTAGAATTGGCACCAATGTGGTGTGGGCGAAAATACTCAATGGTCAAGTTTCGCCTCCATCGAGTAGTTTCGGAAATTCAAAGTTTGAGTCATATTCTTCTAAAAGGTCTATCTACGCTTACCTTGATAACTTTGAAACCCAACACATTGATAATGAAAAAAATAAACATCATCATGCACGTAATATACAGAATATTACATAAAGAACGTAATTATAATCACCACCAGCACCGACAGAGTTGGAGCTGCGGCGCCACTTGAAGAGGCCCTGAAAAGAATATGAGTTGACAGTCACCCGGTCTCCGGTCTTACCCTGAGCTTCCTCCTCGAAGCTCGCTTCCAGCCTTGTCCCTCGGGACGCTGGTAGTGGTGGAAGTCGTGATAACAGCGGTGGTGGTGGTCGAGGTTGTGGAGGTGAGGAGCAGGTCTGGGACCCCTGCAGCAGCATCTTCTATGGCCAGCTGCTCCTCTATGAAACCCTCCATGACAGGCCACCAGGAAAAACCCTTCCTGGAGGCTCTGGCCTCGACAGGAGAGGTGGCAGGTTCGGTGGAGGTGGGGGTGGACGTAGGAGTGGGAAGGGAGGTAGACGTCTCCTCCATGGTGGCCATGATGGCCACAATATGAACGATGGCAGTAATAGTCATTACGAGTGATCGAATAACTGAAAATAATGAAAAAGTTCATGATACGACTATTCGATATAAATTGTATCATACGATGCGAATCCTGCATTGCATAATCAGTTTTAGGTGAGAAGATCATAATGGAGTGGTTTCGGTCGCACGACTGGCTGCGGTCGTGGGAATCTTTAGCGCGCGCCTATTTCGGAAATAGTATTTCCGAAGAAAGCGCGCTCAGGAGTATCATTTACCTCACGTAGATGCCAGCATGTTTTCGTTCGTTATCACAGGCTCTGCGGTGTGACTATGGAGTCCCTGTGGTCCACAGCCGGTGACAAGATGGTCGGCCCGAGCTCGGGAGAGTGCGAAGAAACTACGATAAATTTCTTGCGAGTTATGGAAAATATGGGTGTCTTGTGGCATTTTCGGAATGGATCAAATAGTATCAACGTTGAACAGGTGCACCCTTACTCTCTAATTCGAGCGAGTTAGAATAAGGGGAGCTACAGGAAACAGGGAATGCCGCGTCCCATACAGCTTCGAATAGCTAGCAGGCCAAGCCGGACAGGCTGACGTGACATGCCAGAACGTCAGACTCGTCACACTCGGATAAAAAGAAGCAAGTCGTAGCCGCAGTCCTTCGTGAATTCTGATTCCGAGTCGGAAGAATTCTCAGCTGTTGGTGGGCATAGAGCTGAGTTGGGCATGCTGAACTTAATCATCGCAGAAATTGATCTTGCGTTAGTATCGGGTGGTAGGAGGTCGCGGCCATCGTGATAGTGGTGGGTCTGCGTAGCCTATGAAATAACACACCTAAGAGTTTCGAGTGGCATTCGTACTAGTTGATTCGATAGAGCAATTTATGTGACCATTATGGTCACATATGGATGCGTATTGTCAAACTTGTGTGCGTATTGTCAAACTTGTATGGTCTATTGTCATTCTTGATTGTGATATATTCTGCCGGTGTCAAACATGAATTCTCACTGTCAATCTTGATTGTAACATAATTGAACTTTGACAAACTTGGATTTTCATTGTCAATCTTGGTTGTTACAAAATAGAAAAGTGACAAATTTGGATTCTCATTGTCACTCTTGATGGTAACATTGTCATTCTCGTCTGCTCACTTGTCAAACTTGCACGGGAAAAGGTGTAGACTCTCCATTATCCATCTCAACATCAAGCCTTGAAGATAGAGACATATTATTAATAATATTAATACGAGTGGGAGTTGATAGGCTGAAAACACTATTATCACATACAATACATTGAACACCTTATCATCACTTGTATCATTATATTAGCATAGCATAGTAGCTAGCCTAGACTTTAGCACAGCTTGTAGGATATTGTGCAATAGGGACGATTGTGGAGGGTCATGAGTAGAGGAGAAACAAGGTCCTAGTCATTAGTAACCCACTCGTCACAGAAGCTGTCACATCGATCAGCAGACGGACAGAAGCTACTCGTCATGGTATTCTACAACATACATGGTCTAGTGGCTGTCCTACCTTAGCACCATATCGACCACTCAGCTGGCCACCACATATTCGAGAGGATGACACAGTTCCACTACTTACTGTGCTTCTCTACTTCACTGAGGAGATGATCTACACGACACTCTCCATTGCTTGTCATTCAGGATGTTCACTGTAACCTTTCTCATGTCCTCCATTGTACGTGGTCTGCCTCACCGCGCCCACGATCCCGTTGCGCGGATCGTATGAGAGGGTGATAAGCTTTATGCGTGTAATGTCCGGCAATAAAGTTTGAATTGAATTGCAGGCTACTGACCAAAGGAGGATTTGAACACGCGAATAGTTGGCGGGGAGACTACTTGGAGAGACCGGCTAGACTTGGTGAAGAAAGTGAATGCGATAATATGAACAGGGGCCGACGCTTAAGAGTCGACTTAAAGTTCCTAGTCCGTTTACGTCATAGAATGAGCTCGTAAACCAAGACTAGGTCCGATTCCAAGATAACGAACACTGTATAGGCCTGTATAAGATTGCGGGTCTATATGTGTTGACTTTTAACATTGGTATGAATAGCTTCTTCTAGCGGAGCTCAGCTCATCATGCCATGGCCATGGTGAGCGCTAACTCCTCTGCCGTTCCAAGGAATTGGCAGTTCTATGGTCGATCTAAGAGGACGATATGAGGGGAAGCTTCAGTGTAAGAGACAGAAGCAAGGGGCGAGTATAACAGGAGAAGAAGAAAAGCTGGGTGTGACTGAACTTCAGTCACTGAAGAGATTAGAGCCCACAATTACTGTAAAGTTATACTGCATTCGTAGATATGAGGTCATCCCGATCTCATCCGCGATCAGCTCGGTTCTATGCTGATTCTTCGGGTTAAGATTCGTAGTCGTTAACATAGTCACGAGAAGTTAACGCGGGAATTATGGAACTCGGCTCGAGTTACTCGAGCGGAGGTCTACACAAGCAGGTCGGCTCTATCTCACAACACCCCCTCTAAAAGTTATCCAGTCTTCATTACAACGTCAACGTTAAAACGAGCACAGCAAAAAATAGAACTTTGTGGGAGCGGAGGATCCGGTTGGGCTGTGATATACCGCTGAAGCATGATATGGTGTAAAAAAAGAAAGAAAAAAAATAAAAAAAATAAAAAAAATAAAGAAAAATAAAGAAAAATAAAGAAAAAAAAATAAAAAAGGATAAAGGAAAAAAAGAAAAAAATAAAAATAAAAATAAAAAAAATGATAAAAAAAATAAAAAAAAATAAAAAAAACCATGAACATGAATGCACGTTCTGCTCTGTATTAATGCAACTCTTATAGGCGCGAGCCTACTGTATATTTTTTTTTCTGCTGCGCGGTCTGGTCAGCCCTATGCTTGACCTCATAAACTCCGTTGTTACACTAGGTGTAGCTGGAAGTCGCCTAGCCGTACGGCGGCTGCGAGCGAGAGAGAGAAGTCACCGATCGACTGTGTGAGGGAGTTTTTTTGAGAAGTATCATCTCACGCGATCTAGTTTTTCGATACTGCTACTTGTTTGTGTGAATCTGTCGCCCGATATCGCTCAATATGGATGTCCATTCAGGGTCTCACGCTGGCCGAAGCCGGAGCTGATCTCCTGAAGGGAAAGAACTTCACAAAAAAGGGTGACACAAGAGCAGCATGGATTGCGGTGGGTACAACATGAGCCTTTTCCGTCACGACGTGATGCTCCTCTGAAGGTTATTGTCAATGACTTATTGACAAGTTCAATGGCTCAATTCGAATGATTCAATTCGGATCGATTTCGAAATGTGGCGATTCAGTGTGGGAAGATATAATATATCTGACAATTTCCTTATGCAGGCTGTCACATGAGCCTTACTAACCTTCTCAATCTATTTCACTGTAAGAAACTTCTATCTCACCATGAGAAGCTTCAATTTCAACAGGCGAGCAAGTTGGTGCGTCAACTTGACGCCGTCAAGATACCCAAATAGAAAGTTCTATTCCGAGTCAAAATCTTGCAAACAGCGCACCGTCAAGATTTTCGACGGTGCGCTGTTTTGGGAACTTCAATTCCGACAAAGCAATTTAGGAGCTTGGATTTTGCACATAAGAATTCCAATCTTCCTTCGAACTTGACGAACTCAAAAGAAGCACAGGAGTTCTGTGACTGTCTCTCGCTGACCGAACGCAACTTCTCCAGCGAATCGACGAGTCACCGGTGATCCTCATTGTAACGCCGGGGATCAGAGTTCCTGATTCCCGGTGTTCGAAACTGCGGGTCGATAGTGCGTGTGAATAACGAGTAAGAAAAGAAGTTCACGACTCGTGAACTACTTTTTTCGTCAATCACGAGAGGAAACATGCCTTGCCCGACAAAATTTGTCATCATATGGGGACTAGTGCGACAACCGATGAACTCAACTCTATCCTTGGTGATGGGCTATCACTGATGGCGTATCACAGCTCAGTAGCATAATCTTTCAGATGGTGGATTCGATGATAGTGACCGGAAAAGCGTTGTGTTCCAATCCGCTTAACTTTTCCCTCATGCGCGGAACTTGACTCACTATTCGTAACATACCTCGAATTGAACTACTTACAGTAGAGCCTTGTACACCGGAATTACCTCAGCAAGGTATGCATGGAAACTCCGTAACGCAATGATTCAACCACTTTACTTGAAATGTGTGTTCTACATTGATATTTGAGCTTGACCATTCCGAAAGGAGCAACAGCGGGAGATGCTGCGTTGCTGAACATTTTCCGAGTATAGTTAAATTGTTCTTGTGAATGACAGCTATAGCGACTACATGAGTGAGAAGACAAAAAAGACTTTTCGCATCTGCGTGAAATAAATAGAACGAGTATCACATCGCTCAAGCATTATGATAGGCTGGGCAATCACCTAAGTCAGCGAACTGCGGATTCATCCTCACATGAGTCCAGTTCTTGATGCCAACAATTTCCTTGTGAACAGCCGCTCTCTCATCGAGATTCCGAGCCCACATATTCAAATGCTTATGCGGGGGTATAATGTAGAACTGACGAGGTAAAGACTCTGATCCGAGTTGTGCAGCCGAGCCGATGTTCCACGTGTACCGAACCCTTGCACTGTTCGGGAAGGGTATCGGCTTGTTAACCCAAGTTCTGGTATGCCTCTTCGACCAGTCAGACTCACCAAACGTAGCCCAGTACCCGAGATGGCTGGCAATATTCAACAGAGGGGATGTGTCGTCATATTCCAGAACGTTTCCACCACCAAAAGAGGCAACATCCATCGCCTGATCAGCCAGACCGCCGAAAGTGAAAGCCGTTGCAGCTCCTGTTAGCTGTAGAGTCTGCGTAAATAACGAGCAAGCAGAGCCACAGTTACCATCAGTCACAAAAGCGACCTCCGTCCAATAATTCGGGTCATAACTCGACCCTTTGACGATTTCGGGTAGAGCATTCTCCAATACGTCATAGCAGAAACCGAAAGTACTTGTGGCGGAGTAGTTTGAAGGCTCGCCCCATGGAAGAACCCGATAATTTGCAAAGTGACTCAAAGGAGGGTCGAAAGGCGCGCGAGTTTTAGGGTTTATAAGCTCCCTGTTATCAAAGAGATACCAACCATATTGTGGAGCCAATTCCGAACCAACGATCGTTGATGAATTCAAAAAGCGTCTCTCTTTCAGAAAGGACTTGAAGAGGCTCACTCTTCGAGCGACACGCTCCTGTGATAATATAGATTTTTCGATCTCCTTCAGACGCGGGACTTCAATTCGCTCGATGAAAGAATCCCGCAGGGTAGCCGAAGCGGAGAGCGCCTGGTCGACATAATTGAGCAGGATGTAGAGCTGTTGGAACCTTTCGTGGATGAAGCCTGGATCTCCAACCAGTTGAGCGTTCTCGTTGAAGAAGTCGTCGATAGTTTGATTATAGTTGAGTCCGAAAGATGACACCCAGGAGATCCAATCATCGGTCATATGACGAACAATAGGAAAGCAAATCTCGTCGGCATTTGGTACAATATACCATTGCAATGCGAAGGTTGAAACGACAAAGCCACCACCATTGGTAGAGACATCGAATAGTATTCGAGTCACATTGTTCTCCCGAGCGAAGTCTTGAACTTCGGAAAAGTTTTCGTGTTGAGATTCGGGAAGCCGAGAGTTACGACCTGGGCTCCGTCACGCATATACGAATCGAAGCGAATTGGAAGCACGAAGTAGAAGTCCCTGTATGGCGTATCATAGCGAGTATGAGCGTCGTTCAAGCGGCTCAACTGACGCTGTAGAGCGAAGTGAAAAGGGGCCACTGGGATGCTCTCACCGAAGAACCTCTGCCTTTCCTCCAAAGTCATTGGGTCCAGCGCGGCGGCATACTCACTTATCCTGTCATCAATGAAACTCTCGATGTCAACGTCAAGAGAATGCAGCTTGAAGTTGCAGGTGTTGACTTCCACGGAGTCGTCCAAGCCGTTAGCGATGTCAGTGAAGGCGTAGGTCTCAGCCAGGCCGTACTTGAGGTTGTGGAGAGTGAAGAGGGCATCGAAGTTGGTGATGGTGAGATTATTGAGGCATCGGGTCACGTCCTCGGCTCGTCCCCATATGAAGTCCTTCATAGTATCGTCTGCTAGCGTCTGTCGAATAGTCCGTCCTCTGGCTGGGTTCAGAGAGGCGCAGTCGTCAACAACAGGGATCGAAGATGTGGGTATGACAGATCTGTTCGCAGGACCGCAGGGGATGGGTGGCTCACTTCCGTGACACACGACACCATCCCCAAACTTGTAGTACATGCAGTGGGTGACCTGGCCAGGCATTACATCGCGGCATGCCTGATCCCACTTCTTATGATCGGGAGGCTGGCCTTGGACTGATGACCTCAACGCCCACCAAGAGATGATCACACTAAGCTGGAGACGAGGCATTATCTTAGCAATAAGCTCTTGATGGTTGGAAACTGATATTCCGAGTAATCATGACAACTTACTCACAGTACAGCTACCGTCCACATAGCTGATCGTTCTACACGAGAGCAATCATCGATCGCTACCGATCCGATCACTGAATTTTAGTGGGAATGAACCAATCAGACATCCTCGATCCAGGGGGAGACGCAAGGCGCCGCCTTATCCTATCATACAAGGAGTCTCCAACAATTGCACGCATGTGATTCCCATGCGCCGCGCATGATGCGCGCAATTGTGAGAGGCATGGCACTAATAGCAGAGCAGTTGCTGTAGGATGATCTGTCGTTGGTCAGTTTATTCGTTGTGCTATACCGTTCGTTCGTTATGTGCGACTCTGCGGCTCTACTTGTGCGGTCCTACCTATGCGTAGTAAGCAGATAGACAGTATATAACGGTCGTACGATTGCTAAGGGTGGATCATGGGTACACGTGCTAAACCATCGATCACATTCAGAGTTTCACGCGGATTCTTTTGAGAATTATTGTTGGCACTTCTGCCGACCTTGCCGGGCGCAGCCGAAGCACGATCTGATACCTGCATCTACCTTTGAGATTGTGTTGTCAGTAGCATCAGCTACCTGAAATGTCAGATTGATACTATCAATTGAAGACCCGAACACGACTTCGAGTAGATTCCTCCGCACAGTGCACCTACCCTTGATGGTCTGAGGACCCCACACTATCAGCTGCTTGCATTCATCACTGATGAGGATACGGAATTCATCTTGATGCTCAGCATGGCCCGCTTGCGAGTAACCCAATGCTCAGCTACAGCCCATAACGTCTCGGATGCAGTCGTCTGTTTGATGCAGAGTCCAAGACAGGACCAGACCAGCCACGGAAGTGTCTTCATTTTCGAGGGACAACTGTCCCGATTGCGATTAGGCTGAATGCGAGCCAACCTTGTTTCCTTTCGTAATATGGGCTTCAGCTAATATAGCTTCATACGGAGTCCCAAGTTTCGATAGCACACTCATAAGTCTATGATCAATGAATGTTTAAGATCAGATTAACCCTCTTCATCGGGGGTAAAAAAGCCTTTCGACATAGAATTGATGATTCTACGCTCAACATTAGAATGTTGATCATAACACACGCAATGTCTATCAGTTGCGTTGTATGATGATATCCTTAGCGTGTTTTTGGCCTAGCTTCAACTTCATTTGTAGCAGTGATTATTTAAAAGTAAGCCTCTGTTAGAAACCATTTGGTTATCCTTGTTGAGTTGACCTGACAACTTGGTTTCCTGTATCTGACCATCGACTGAAGGATATTTAATATTGGGGGAAGAGCCAAATTGGCACTGCCAAGGATCGCTGGTGTTACGGGTACAGTTATGACGGAGAAAAATATTCTGTAAAAGTTTTACAGTAAAACATTTGAAGCTGTAATGGCCGATCGGTGACCGATCATCGGTCAATGTCCATGAACTGCACAGTAGGAATCTGGGTTCAAGCTTCACACAGGCCGCTAGGTCGGAAGTTGAAATGGGCTGGTGGCGCAACCGACGGCGAACATTTGGATTCGCCATCGCGAAGTGCCTCTGCGATGCCAAGTCCAAATCGCGAATCGGTTGACAGAATTAGACCTGATTCCAAGAAAATGGTGCAACTCGGAGCCTCTCAGTGTTGCTTCGTCCTCCGAGTCGGACATGTTTCTCCGAGTCGGAGAAACGGGACTGAGTCCTGTTTCTCCAGTGGTACTCTCTCGAGCGGCGGGTTCGAATCTCAATGCACTGTCTCCTAGTCAGATCCTCTCATGGAGTGTTGGTTCAATGGCCCTGCTATAGCGTTTTGGCGTATTGGCTCTACTGAAGACTCGTCGTTATGATTTTGGCCTGCGTAGCTCGGAATCATCTGAAGGTGATGAGGACGGCCGAAAAGTACAGTTTTGTGTTGGTAGACTGTGATGGCATGGATGCCGACCCGAGCTCAGGAGGAGGTGCAACAGCAGATATGAAGAATCTTCATTGAGGATAGATAGGATCGGATGGGGGTATTGTCTGAAGTGGACAGTCAATTGCGTTCACATGAGGGTCTGTTGTGGAGGACAGCCCTCCGAGGGTTACCACTTGTGATGATGATGGGATGCTTAATGGATGCTAATATATTGGTGATCACTCAATTTGACGATATACGTGTTGCGTAGTAGTTCAGGCTGTGCCTAATTCGCTTCTAACAGGCCTTCAGAGATCCCCCAACAGTCTTAGTGCCATGCAAGTTGCATGCATGATGCAACTTGGAAGTCGCAAATTCGATCTAAGATGAAGCCCGGGTTCGAATTCCACGGATGTCGTTTTGAGCGCATTGTGAGGGTGGGACGGTTGATGAGACGTCAGTAGTGATAGCTATGTCGGACGCATGATGGTTCCTGTGCTGTAGAGAAGAAGCAGAGGATCATCTAGGCCTTAATCGAGGAATCCTAGATGCTCTTAGCGATACTATAGGCTCACCAGACTCTTGATAGACACTGCGTGTAATAACCATCCCAGACTCAGCGCGACAAGACTAACTTAGATTCAATTAGTTACAGATATACTCAGAGCGCTGACTAGCGTTACAGCAATAATAGCCGTAATAAGACTCTAACACTAAGTCAATACTTCAAAGTCGCTCCAACGAGCGGTTACAGATATCCAATCGTTTCAGATACTTAACCCTCTACAGATATTCGGGCGTGCGCGATACGACTTGCGCCGATCTTTCCCGATCGTGTCGTCACAGCATTTACGTCTTGGCGTTCATGCACAGTTGTTAGCCCCCTCCTGCGTGCCTTAACGAGTTGTTCGTGTGTGGAAGTTCTATGAGATTATCGTCATTATGATTGACTCTCCAAGGCAAGTCGCTGCTTTTGAGTAACTGCCTTCCACTAAGCTCTCTGGTTGCATACGTATGGCGTCGCTATTACAGAACCCACTTTCAACGCTGATTGGCTGGCTCAGCCAATACGTTGCTGTTAGAAGTTTCCTGTTCAGTGGTGTTTTTCCATCCTTTCTATGAGTTCCCCCACTAGTGATGTTGATGATGATCATCTACTAGAATGCAGTAACTAAATGATGTACCCTGGCTACGGTAGGATAGCAGGAGAATACGAAAGGGGTGCCGGGTTAATCAGTGTCTCTGTGTATGGTACGTTATGAGTTTCATGGATATGAGTTCTATTCCCTCCGAATTGCCTTCAATCTCGCACCGTTGAAGCATTGATGTGGTTGAGACTCGAGTCGAGTCCCTCGACCTCGTCGAGTACTCCCGAAATGAATGAAGCACTTCCAGGAGCTCAGTCTACGCTTGCTCTGTGACAACTTCGCAACACAAAACGTTGTGATGGAAAAATGTAAACAACATCATGCAAATCATATATAAAATATTACAGAATAGTCTTAATTATAATCATCGATAGCACCATCAGGGTTGGATCACCCGTGATGCTACTTGAACACGCCCTGAAAAGATATACGTTGTTCATGGTCACCCGGTCTACGATCCTACTCTTGGATTCCCCCTCGAAGTTGGCCTATGGCCTGGACGTCCTTGGTGGAGCTGGTAGTGGTGGTGGAGCTGGTAGTGGTGGTGGTGGTAGTGGTGGTGGTGATAGTGGTGGACGTGGTGGTGGTGGTGGTAGTGGTAGTGGTG